AGGGCAAGGGCCTGGCATTGGCAAAAGACCCTTAGGGTTTAGGGTTTAGGGTTTAGGGTTTAGGGTTTAGGGTTTAAGGTTTAGGGTTTAGGGTTTAGGGTTTAGGGTTTAGGGCTAAACCCACAACCCCAAAGCCACACACACCGGAACTCTGATCCCTCAACCTCAACAGCCCCAAATCCTACACCCACCATGCCATGGCTTCGGGTTTAGGGTTTACCCAAAATACTCTTAAACCCTGTGCCCCTACACCTGGAACTCCGAAATCGATGTACAAGCAACCCTAAACCCTAAACCCTAAACCGACGAAGAGGCCTTCCAGTAGGAGGGCAAGAGGGGAAAGTACCAGGGTCGCTGCAAGCCCACCTCTTCTCGGTTCGTTTCGGGTTTAGGGTTCAGGGTTGAAGGGTCTAGGGTTTAGGGTTTAGGGTTTAGGGTTTAAGGGTTTAGGGTTTAGGGTTTAGGGTTTAGGGTTCAGGGTTTAGGGTTTAAGGGTTTAGGGTGCAAAGGTTTAGGGTTCAAAGGTTTATTTCGGGCGCTACCAGAGTTCTATAGTGCCCTGATGGGCTCGTTAGTTGTCCAAGCCTTCACAATTGGAATCGGGCTTTGTGGTATATACCACTGTATCAATACATAGAAACCCTACGGCAGACTATTGAAACTACTAATTTGTGAAGTCTCTACCCAAAACCCTATAACCCTAAACCCTATATTGGGCTTACCGAGGTTTCGGATTAGGGGCAGAGGGCTTAGGCTGAGCATTTCCGGGCTTGGTGTGCTTGGCTTTCGGGTTGGTTTTCTGGAGGTCTGGGCGCTTCATAAGGCCCTAAACCCTAAACCCTAAACCCTAAACCCTAAACCTTCATAAGCTTTGGTCTCAGGGCTTACGGCTTTTGACTTTGGGTTTCGTTTTCGGGGCCGGGTGCTTAGAGCTTTGTGTTTTGGGGCTTCCCGCCTTAAGGTTTCTGGTAGTATGGCTTCTGGGCTTGTCATGGGCTTAGTTATCTGGGTTTCATATGGGGAGCGGGGGTCTGAAAAGTTAGGAAGTAAATGCTGCGAGAATCCTTGCATACACCTGTCAAAAATATAAAATTACTCTAACCACTCAGGCCCTCAAATAAAACAAACTACCGAAACCATCACGAGAGAAACGATATAATATAGTTCCAAGGGGTATAGGGATGTGTCCCGAGATCCAAAATGCTCACTCCTCTCCACGCCCCGAACTACGGCAAAAGAACACGCAAAACTTAATTGTCACAACAAGAGCCCAAACTAACTAACTTACAGCCAGAACCCCTACCCGGACCCGCAACACCGATCAGTTCAAAACTCCGAAGACGACTCTGCATCAACTCTGAGACTCTTGCCGCAGCCGGGGAGTTTCAGAACATGCGGGCGCCAACAGGAACCCTGAGTACTACGGTCCTCACTTCTCCGGACCGCTTAATGATCCCTAAACCCTAAACCTAAACCCTAAACCCTAAACCCTAAAACTCTCCGTCATCATGGTAAGAAGTGTAGGACAAAGCCAAATTCACCGCAGGCCTCGCGAGGTAGCACCTGGTCCAGGTACCTCAGAGAGTCTCGGGGTCCAAGCTTTAGGGTCGAGGGCTTAGGGCTTAGGGTCCAGGCCTTGGGGTTCAGGTTTTAGGGTTTAAGGTTTAGGGGTTTAGGGGTTTAGGGTTTAGGGTTTAGGGGCTTAGGGCTTAGGGTCCAGGCCTTGGGGGCTTACGGTTTAGGGATTACATGAGGGGATGATGAAGGCTTGGGTTCCGCATATAAACCCAAAAGCCATATGCACTGCGGCCAGGGCCTTCGGACTTTGGGGTTTTGGGGCCTTCGGACTTTGGGATTTGGGGCCTTCGGACTTTGGGGTTTGGGGCCTTCGGACTTTGGGGTTTGGGGCACTCCATACCCTAAACCCTAAACCCTAAACCCTAAACCCTAAACCCTAAACCCTAAACCTGGCGCCTCCTGTGGGCTTGAGACTTCGGGCTTTTTGAATCTGAAGGGGCCCTAGGGTTGAAGGTCTTCGGGGTTTAGGGGCATTTAAGGTTTAGGGTTTAGGGGTTTTTAGGGTTTAGGGTTTAGGGGTTCTTAGGGTTTAGGGGTTAGGGGTTTTTAGGGTTTAGGGGTTTTTAGGGTTTAGGGGTTAGGGGTTCTTAGGGTTTAGGGGTTAGGGGTTCTTAGGGTTTAAGGTTTAGGGAAGGCTTGTGGCATCGGGTCGGATAGTTTGGCCTTTCAGGGGATCCTGCTTGGGTATGGCCGCGTAGAAACCTTTGGCAATCCCAAGATGACTGTGGGTATGATATCCCTAAACCCTAAACCCTGAACCGTAGCCCCCTGGATAGTTTCAAGTAGCGCAGGGCCCATCCCGATTCGAGTAATGCATTGGGGTAGATTGAAGTAGGTATAGCTGCATGAACTGTGCCGGGGGCCTACTAAGGGGATATTAACTTGTTTAGGGTTTAGGGTATGATACTAACACTAACCCTAAACCCTAAACCCTAAACCCTAAACCCTAAGTCACTAAGTCTTCCGACCCCTATATGGCTATGATACCTGTGGTCACACGAGTAGCTGCAAGTAATTAGGAGTTTAACTGCGTGCCACAAGGGGGGGCCCAAGCTCTCCGAGCCAAGGGATTTGTACTGGAAAGCAACCGACCCCAAGGCATCCACACTCATCCTAGACTCTACCTTGACCCTAAAGAACCTACCTTTTTAGGGTCCCTTGTTATGAATTCTTTATATATGTCCTTAAAAAGGTAGGATATTTGGGGTTAAGGTAAAGCTTTGGTATTCACGCGAGACCCATGCATGTGCCGATAAACCATGCAAGCCCCCGTTCCTCAACCTTAACTCCCAAAGCCCACACCCCACACCCTGGAATCAAACCCCCTTAGCCCCTGAACCCTACAACTACATGCCCGGAACCACTCTGAACCCTCAAGCTAAAGAACGACGAGGCGCAGAAAAAGGACGAAGAAGAGCACTGCATCAAGTGCCAACATCGCTGCACTCTCCTCCAATTACCAGCTGTCAGCAGGACCCTAAATCCCAAACCCTACTAAACCTTTAAATCCAAACCCCTAAACCCTAAAACCCTGAACCCAAAAGCATACACCTCAAACCCATACACCGGTCGACAGTTTCAGAATGGTTTAGCGTTCATGCTTGGGGTCTTTGGGTTCGGGGTACCCTTTCTCCCCTCCCCCTCCACAAAAACACGTGGAGATGGGTTCAGCTTGTAGGGTCTACGGTATAGCGTAGGAACCTGATTAAGAAAGCTTGGCCCTATAGGGGGAGGGGGGGGGGGGGGGGGGGGGGGGGGGGAGG